TGATGGCCGACATTAATTATTGAGCTGCTGTCTCTTCAGATACCGCGGATTATGGAAGCCGCGATCACTAGGCGGTGTCCCTTTAAGATCACTCCTGGATCAGCTTAATGATCAAAAGCGTTGTTATCGCAGAAATCGCGCTTCCCCAGCTAGCTCCCATTCTAAACCCACAGCTGACTGTGCAGCCGATGCCGTCATAAGCGGGACCAAGAAAAAAACCCTAATAAAACAAGGACTACTTTGTATGAGAGTCCAATCTATACCTCTTTCTGGCTTGGATTGGAGTAGGCAAATGCTTTAGTTATCATAGGCTTGTCTAGGGCCCCAGCAATCATCAGGGCCCTGCCCCTCCTCAAAAAACATGGAATGGCTGATGTCATCTCATGGCCCCCCAGGTAAGATAAGCCGTGCATGGGCTAGAGTAAAAAACATGAAGAACACAGCATCACTAAATTCATGACACTGGCGTCAAGAGCCCTAAGAGGAGAGCTATTTAAATCATCTATATGGAGCAGGGGGGTGGCAGAGGTTTACAGTGAAACAGCAGTAATTGCAGCAGGTGTAAAGAGGCAGGCACACCCCCGGGCCCCTGCATCAATGGAATGTGCTAATTAAAGGGCCGGCGTGTGACGACGACGTCGGCAGCTCCGATAGTTTACAGGGTCCTGCTGAAATGTAACTTTAAAAATAGACTCCGTCAGACGCGTCAGCCTACTGTGGACCACGAGCGAGGAGGCCTTGGCAAGTTTGTAAAACGAAGACATCTGGGCGATCCTTTGCCTTGTGAAATATTCCGGATAGGTGCTGGGGTGGGAGGCGGGCTGCAGGAGCAGCTATGCATGGTAACAGAGCGGCGGTCACGCTCCGATAACCTATCAGTCACAGGCCGCCGCTCGGCCCGACTCGCCATAATTGCGTGACCTGGGGGTGACGCCCTGTGACCCCGCCCTGAATCAATGTAGCCAATAAGCCGGCACAGCACATGGCTATGTAGCCAATAAGCACATGGCTATGTAGCCCCGCCTCCTCGACGCCAGAGTTAACATTCAATTTCAGGGTTGTGCCCCGATGTGTGGGAGACACATTCACGGAATTCCATCATGGAGACAGAGAAGGGGCAATCGGGAAGGCAATTTAAGTGAAAATACCAAAAGCCTCCATATCTGAACCACCCTATAACCTCCATCACACACACACAGGTTTGTATAATTATATCTTTGTGGGGACTCTCCATTCATTTTCTATGAAAATTCTAATCCCAACTATGACAACCTTAACCCTTCCCAGCCCTAACCTTTACCATCAGTAATCAAACTAAATACGAGACTTTTGGCATTTTTAGTTTTTTGATTGCATTCACATATCTTTGTAAGGACCTACGACGTCAAAATAACAGGCTTTTATTACATTGCGGGGGACATTTGGTCCCTCACAATGTAATATAAACATAATCCACACACACACACACACACCTTTTCTCCATCTCCTGCCCTGAACAGGTGAAATTAATCTGCTTTCACCTTTTTGACTTTTCCAGGGCCCCCCCCCCCCACCCTCATGCCGGGTTATGTGATGAGTCGGCACAGATGAGAAACTGGGTGGCTTTCATTTCAGAGCTATAGATCAACGGTGACTAATCAATTTTTCACCCCAGGAGGGGGGACAGCATGCATGTTCCCGTGCATGAAGGATTTCGGGAGCAGGAGGGAGGAAGAGAAAGGGATTGAGGGAAAAAAGAGTATACAATACAGCCATGTGTTTACAAATTGTAACTTTAATGTCAATACAAAAAATGGGGGGGAGGGGATGCAGATAACTTTAAACAGGGATATTGTTTCTGCGGGTCCACTCAAAAAGTATGAGTAGAATCAGAAGATTGTAACTATCTAGCTGGTTAGCAGAACATGCCGTTTCAGCATCTCCGAAATGAAGAACGTGTTAATTTCATATTTAGTGTAGTGACTATTTCTGGCCAACAGGGGGACCCCTACAGAAATGCGTAGTTTGAGCACCTGGCTGGGGGGGCATTTGACGTCTGTGTGCCTGGATGGCACCCCCAAAGCTTTGTGCGGGTCCTCCTGACCTGAGGAGTCACCGCTAGGGAAGCTGGAGTGATTACTGAATGCTGGCAGTGCAGGAAATGTAAAGGGTGGGATTAAATACGAGGGCAGTCACTGGTAAAGGGTGTGGAAGGAAGGGGGGTGATCGGCGAGGAAAAAGGGGCGGATCGGCGAGGGAAAGGGGGCTGATCGGCAAGGGAAAGGGCTATCACAGCTACTCCCATTAGCGACGCTGGTTATGAGAGGAAAACTGCATCACTTCTGGGTCCGCGATATTTTTAGCGGCAGACCGCTGCCCTCATCAGCGCAGATCGAAGGGGCCGGTGACGTACTGAGAGTCGGTACGAAATTAGACCTCAGCCGGGCTGGGCTGGGCTATCAAGGAAAGAGAGATGGGTGAGGAAGAGAGAGAGGGAGATCCGAGGGGAAGAGGACAGAATTGCCCACAAGATGACCCTGGCTCTCATTTCAGGGCTTTTAATGCTAAAATGCTGCATGCTTTCATAATGAATGAGCATAATCATACTCCACTGTACTATGTGGAGATAATTTCCATAGAGGGAAGGACCTCACTTTGGTATTTCTATTGATATGATTACTATAGATGATACATCCATCCCATCAGAATTGCAGGGGGCGTCTTGTAACTTATCCCAGTCAGCAGAGTAGGTGGGGAACATCCTGGAATGGGGTGCCAGTCAGTCACTGGGTAAATACACACACACACATGCACACACACACACAATGAGTAATGTAGATCAGTTAGCCTAACAGCATTTCTGTGGACCACACGAGAAAAGTAAGACAATTAGAAAAAAACTACACAACATATGGAGAACCCATAAACTCAACACCTACAGAGCAGAGGTGGGACTGGAACCCACAACCACAGAGGTGTGGTCACCCTGTGCCACTGTGTCACCCTACAATCTACACAGTCAGAAATTTTTCAACACACTCTCCCTGGAAATGCATTTTTTCTTTTATTTTATCGTTTCAGCAACAATTGAAATCGATAACTTCACTTGAGGGGGAACAACCATTAATTCAGTTACTACTGAAGTACAAATCATGAACAAATGTACAGTAGCTACTTGTGTTATTCATAACTTGTTCCTTCAGTAGTTCACAAAGGTTTACAGAATTAAGAGATATAGTAACAAATATAGTAACTGCTTGGGATAAAACATGTGTCACGATTCATCAATGATGAACGAACATGAGATCAATATGCAACATTTGTGGTTAATTAATACATAAGAGCATAATACTATATTATTTGTGCCCCGTCAAGTAACGTGTTACCCTGAAATCATATTTGGATCCATGTGATTGGCTTAATTCCCATGTAACAGAGTGACAGGCGATTTGTCATGAATCACAACCTGCACCGTATCTGTCAGCGGCTCATTCTCGGCTAGGACAGAGGACAGCTGGCCATAAATGGCGCACATACGACATGGCATCTCGTTAGCCAATCGCGTCCTTGGTCCAGCGAACGGGAGGCGGGGCTCAGCTCTTCCCCCGCCCACTTCCCTCGTGACAGACCGGCAGCACGCTGTCCTGGGAACGGTCCAGGCCAAGCAGCCGAAGCGCAGGCGACCATCTGCCATCGGGACACCGGACCCGGGGTTCCTTCAAGAGCCAGACGCTGCGCGTCACGTACTTCTGCACATTTTGCTATTTATACTGATCCCGGTAATCTGAGCGGTGACATAAGAATGCACATCTCAGTGTTTACAGTGTCAACAAGGCAGATCCCTCCTCCGTCCATAAAGGTCATGATGCTCGGGACTCTGGCAATCGCACTGTACCCTGGGCTCTATACGCTGTGTTCACAAGGTTGCTGTGTCTTATCGGAATAACTTCAAGACGAGGGTGAAGGTGCACGGCTTCCATCGGCTGCTCAGATCCGCAGTGCCGTCGTAACTTCTCCCACAGCAATACAGTGATTATTTCACCCAGTCACTGCATATCTCGGCATTCACAATCTATATAATAATCATGGCGTGAATTTCACGAGAAGTGTTGTGTTTCATTATCCCTCAATAAAATTAACTATTAGTGATTCAATTATCAATGATTTCAAAGATGTCGAGAAGTGAAATTAAGTTAAGACGTTAGTGAAATATTACTATCAAAAGGGTTTGCAAGTGAGAAAGTAAACATTTGGGTGGAATTTTTTATTTGTTTTTCTTAATGTGTAGACCTTTAAAGGAGTTTCCCTGCCTTGGCCGTGTCATCAACCTGGGACTAGCCAATCATGACACACATACGTCGTTGCCATAGTAATGTTTGAAATCACCAATTATGCCCAAAGTAAATAATATTAAATACCACACTGAAAACAGGAGCTCAACAGACTGAAATGAATATGCTTAAATGTTACCAATATATAGCTTAAACGACCAAAGGAAGCCCTTAAATGGTAGACCTTAAATGTATCTTTAGAGTAGCTAAGGTATTTGACGTTATATCAAAAATAGGGGGGGACATTAGCTGGTGTGATGTGTACTTTGGGGAAGAAGAATGGAGCAATATATGGTTTACTGAAACAGGCTTTGGAAAAAATGCAATGTCTGTACCTTGAGAGGCATTTACAGAAGCGGCTGTCACGGTGTCTCACGATTTCAGAACCCTGGAGAGCTCTGTTCCCCTCCGCTACAAATGCATGTAGTCACAATGTGTTTCCTCATGTTATCAGTTTTTCCATTGCATTTTTCAAGACCACCCCAGCTTCCCTGTGCTATATTTTCTTTTATTTCCATGTTATTGAAAAATGTTGCAAAATGTGGTTTTTGAATGTACTGTGCCACAGTGTGTTTATTTTCTCATAGCCTGAATTTCATTTGTATTTTAAAATATTTTTATGTTAATTTCTGTGAGTTTATTGGGTGAAAATGGATAGTGACCTTTGAACCTGAACCTGTTGCAGGAAAAGCGGGAAGAAAAAGCGAGCGAGGGAGCGGGGATGGCTGCGCGGACGGAAAGTGCCGAGGAATGTCGTAACTATACGGTTAATATCCACCTCTAGGCTTTAGAAGTGGAATTACGCATGATAATAGTTGTCGGATTGATAAGTAGTTTATCAGAGATCGGGTATTTCTGATCGTGTATTCAAAGTATTTCTGAAGTTTAATACCGCGGGAGTAGCATTAATCGTAAGTGCGCTGTGGCGCCTGGCCGCCATCTTAAGCTAAACGCGACCTCCGGCACAGTGTCAGTTACCATCGTCCTGAAGGGACACCGACTCGGTGGACTGAGTTTGCTGCGACTTCAGATGACAAGTTCGCCGTTCACCTGCGCAAGGTGCGCGAAGGGGAAACTGGACGCCAGCCAAACGGGTCTGCAGGAGATACGGGCTCCCAGGCGTCCCCCCGCGACGGAGCTTCGCGCCTCTCCTGAAGCGGCAGGTACCTGCTTCTCTATCTGTTTGCTCGCAGAGCGAAGCGGCCGCTTCCATGTCGGGTCTTACCGCTCCCGAGCCTCGTTACCAGGCCTCACCAGGGGGGCGTGTTAGTTTCTATACTGCCGGCATAGGAGCTTTCGTGAAGTTTAAGCGAGCATTCAGATGGACTTTGTAAATGTGTTGGGTTTATTGTGTGCTGTTAATGTATGGCAATGTTAATTGCATGACTATGCTAAGCATTTAAAGGTGCTATTAGAAGTGACTTTGAAAATTGGTTGTGTTTGATAATTGTAGCACACCCAAAATCATTTCTCTAAGCCAGTGGTTCCCAACCCAGTCCTCAGGGACCCCAGACAGGGAGCTTGGAGGGAGTAAAAATGTGGTCTGGGGTCCCTGAGCACTGGGGTGTTAAGAACAGCCGACACTCATACCAATTAAGTGAGAGCCAACATCTCAAACCTTAAACCATAAACAACTGTATATAAATAAAAGAACTTGGGTCACCCCATAGAGATATTGGATAAAGTTTAGGTGTCATGGCCATCAATATGGCATGGGGGCGCTACACAAATGTTAGCTGTCTGTTAAAGGGATTATACTCTGCATCTCCGCTGAAAATGAAATAAGTATCTGCTCTACTATTTTAATAAAAATCTGCGTATTCTTCAGAATTTGCTACTAAAATGATAAAAATACGAGAATGAAATCCAATACAATAAAACAATACAATGTATAGGCTAGAATTACGTTTGTTTATAAAATAAATACACACAATTAAGCATAGGTAGCACCACAAACAGGTATTATGAATAACATTACCAAAGAATACTCTGATTACTCAAAACTGGTTTAGATACACTCAACTATTCTGAGTCTGAGCAATACACACTATACTCAGCAATGCAGTATACTGGCAAAAAACACGAGTAAGCTGAAAGTTATACTACATTCGCATCTTCTAAAAGTGTACTTGTGCTGTGTTTTATATATTTGCGGACAGTGCTTTGCAAACATATTTATGCATGTGACTAGATCAGGCAAGGTCAAAAGGAAGCATCCTTTTCTGGAATACTGTGTCAGGTTTACTGGTATATCATCACTGCATCATGCAGAATAATGTGGTATCATTTGAAATGACTGACACACAAGGGTAAGTCCTCACAAGGTCAATTCCTTTTTAGTTGCCAGGGGTTGATCAATAAACAGTAGGGTTTTATCTAACAGTGCCCCCTGGTGGGCTGAGGGACAATGTCTACATAAACACCTGGGAGGAAGTATGACTACATAACATTGAAGCCTTATTTGTGATAGATTTCCCGCCGGAATTAAAAAAAGCAGGCAGACCACAGAGATTTACTTCGAGTTAAATCCACAGATGTGTCAGTGTCTATATACTCAGACGGCCATAAATCCCCATAATTCCAAGGTCAAGATCAAGAGGTTTGTGAATGAATTCAGCTCCTTCTACAAAGCACACAACCTAGCTTCTCAGGGCGAGGTAGACCGGGAACACCAGATGGCCGTCTCATAGCTGAGGGAACAGCAGGTGTTAGCTGGTTAATTGAAGATCCAAAGAGGACAACCTGCTTTTACAATGCTGAGAACAAGTAAACCAATCTGAATCTCAACCTGAATCTCAACCTCTGGCCTATCGGGCAGGCTGTACTTTAAACCCCGCCCTCCCCCGGGGCCAAGCTCTCTCATCCTTAGGTTTCCGAGTAGCTAGCATTCCCTCTCGGTTGCTATGCCAACCACCCACCCCCCCTCGCAGCTTAACACATCACTCAATAATCACCGCAGGATCATTTCAACTAGAGTGCACACATTAGGCGTCCCGCTGGAGGTGAGAAACGGCTAGCAGCCAGTGCCGCGTGTACCAGCTGAGAGAGACTCGCTCCCTCACTGCGATCGCCATATGTCTGCCGGATTTCCCCTGTAGCTGGACATTCTCTCCCAAGGCGTTCTCCGTTCTCTAGTGCTGGAAACACACACTATTAGCAACGTAATTCACATTCACAAGCTCCTTTCCCAGCACTTCATGTAATCATTGTGACATCCTTCATGAGGTTAATCCTTGCACCGTTAAACCACAGTTTTGTTCCCCTAAATCAAAATACTCGGCAAATTCGTTAAGAATTCCTATTTGATGCTGGTATGAGCAGTTAGAACCATCTGTAACCATAAACTAGTGACAGAGCTCCACTCAACACATGTACAGAAGCAGTTTTATTTTGTCAACTTGATATCTGTCGCCAGATTCCAGACTCGGGCGAGTCTGAGTGTCTCGAAACGGACGTTCGAAAGCCTTTCAGTTCTGTATGATGTTGTGGTGCCCCCATCTGGAGAAGCTGCAGCATTACATGGATTATTCAGCAGCTAAGCATTAGCATCAACATGTCCTTACAGGAAATCAATGGAAAGTAATCATTTTTTGGTTGCCTGAAGAGAGTCACTTTTTAATATACCATCTCGACATTGCAAATACATTTCGGCATGTTCGGGAGAAAAATGGCGAAGTCTATACGGCTTCTTTATGCTGCAGTGCAATCCATCAGGAGAATTAAATTTTTATGCCTCTCGTTAGTTTCTTTTTCAAAGTCAGCTGGTTTATCGTAGAGTCAGGTGCCCACACACATAAGAACAGTGGAAAAAAAAAACAGTTTCTGACACATGTGTTCATTCAAGTATATAAACATAGACTGACGCATCATGGTTGGAACAGCCCACCCTATTATACAACAGGACCCACCACAGAAGAAACACTTATATAACTCCACTGATTACACGTAGCTCAATGGTTAGGTATTTGTGGCCATATCTGGAAAGTCGTAGGTTCAAATCCCTGTTGAGTAAAGCCTTTAACCTCAACTGCACTGAGAATTCAGCACGCTAGCTCATAACAACTGACTCTGATGGAGAAGAAGACTAGGCATATGAAAACCAAAGAATTCATACATGCCTTGTACAAATGGCAAATAAAGTAGCTTATAACTGACATGTACCAAAGGTATACATTATATCTGGGGTCCAGCAGAGCTCCAGTCCAGCACAGCTTAGCCTATTCCCTGATCCACCGCACTTGATTGAGCTCAAGGAATTGAGTGGTAATTAGCAGAGAAGTGAAATCAGGTGTGTTAAATGAGAAGAAACCCAAACATGTATATGGTTGCAGCTCCCCAGGGTGGGAGTTGGTGTCCACCACATTATAAACACAAACACCAGCTGATTACTGCTGAACGAAAAATGCTACGGAACTGGCATAATTCAGCAGCTTCAAACTGTGAAGCAGTGCTTCCTGTGTTAGTGTTTTTTAATCCGCCAAGACACACTGTACACTGAAAACCATGTCGGCGGAAGAGCTACTGATGACCTACTAGGGGGCGCTCTTCCACTGAATCAAATATGAGAGGAAACACCTGCCGCTTTGGGGAGGAACACTGCGCTGCAGGGGGCGCTCTTCCACTGAATCAAATATGAGAGGAAACACCTGCCGCTTTGGGGAGGAACACTGCGCTGCAGGGGGCGCTTTAGTCCATTTCTTCCATCCATTCATACATCTTCCAACCTGGGGTTATATGTCACGGGGTCACCAGAGAACCCTAAATGCACAGGCGATGTAGATGCTTCATATGAAAGTGCGATTAAACACTGACTGCATGCCATTTATCAGCGGTGAATGATTCTACTCATTTTCTAAAATATGACTAAAACTAAGCTAAAACAGACATGCTACTTCATTTTTTTCCTGTCTAGCTAATTTACACAAAAACAGGATATTCAAGAAATGTTCACTGCAGAATACGTAACAGGTCTACAAAACAAACAGTATCTCCTGGCCTAAGACAATAACAATCCCATAGTGCAACAGTATCTTTGTGCCTTAAGCCTAAGACAGAACGGCAATCCCATAATGCACCCAACCTCACCTAACTTTCAATTTTTCTTCCACACCTATAGAGTATTTTTTGTAAACATGCTTAAAGTGTAAATAATTTACCTGGTTAAGTATTGTAAAATTAACACCAAATTCCAGGCATCTAAGGAGCATAACACTATCATTTTACAGTGGAACGTTCCGCGTGCCAAATTTCAGAAGGTTAAAATCCTCCAGATGATCAGTACAGTAAGTAATAGTTAAACATAAAAATTAAGAAGCCATGTGACGTTTTGCAGAAGACGCTGTCTGGCGGCAGCACATGTAGTGTTGAGTGTAAAGTATCACAATGCATTTTAATTGCTTACCCATTTAAAGAGAGAAAGAGTATTTTTGGAAAAGAGTATCTTTGGAAAAAAAGACAGAGAAACAGACTTTCATACTATGGCACATCTGTTCTTAATTTAACAGATTTGTTTTATATTATAAATTGAGCTGAAGGACTCATATCACCAAGAGCGACCCCCTTCCGCTCCTGTACTGCCGCAAAACCCACTTTTATTGTATCTGTGCCTTTCTACGTCAGCAAATGACCTCGACTACATTCTGCCTTTGAACGTTTCACACTGGCCTGAAATCTGACCAATCACATAAAACCTAAACATTCACCCAAGCATTCGATCATTCTGGTAACAAATCTCACAGCCTCAGTGAGGACAGGCTTCAGAAAGCCGGTATTGATTTGGCTGTGATAAAACGTGGCGGAATCTGCTGGGGGGTGGGGGGGAATATTGCCTCTCGGCTGGTTACTCCGATACCAAGATACACTTGACTGCTTAGTCACGACGGGCTCTGAAGGAGAGCTGCCTAGTATAGTCATCATCGCTTATTCTCGGATGAAATGAACTGCGGCTTTCGTTGGGACCCTCCCCTTGACATACAGCCTTCGGTCTGTATGCTCACTTCTTGTTTTAGCAAATAGTAAAGAGGAACAGACAGAAACGAGACATTCTAGAATCTATCCTAACCAAGGATAATGTTAACAAAGACAAAAGAAGAACAAAAATCATTTAAAACGGCACTGTTTCCTCCCTTGGGGGATGTTGGTGAATTCCCGGAAGGTCACAGAAGCGGCACACTAATTTAGGTGCCCTGGTGGTATCAGAGGACACAGCGTCGGGATTTATTTCCCTGCAATTTCTCGTAACGCCCCCAGAGATGCATTCCTCATTTAGCACGTAGCTCGGACAACCAGCAGGAAGACTTTGGCGAGCGACGTTGTCTCATGACCTCAGTGTCAAAGAGCCCACAGATTCCCACAAAAAAAAAATTGTATCACAGGCAAAAAAAAGCAACTGATAACAGGCATGGAATCTCCAGCCAATTTTCATGCTGCACAGTATTAAATCTCCCATTTCTTAAACTCTGTTATGCCACTGACTCTTATCAACGTTGCAGATGTTCAGGAGACATGATCGATCTCCGGCCAGAAAACCTGAAGATTTAACAAGGTAAAACTGACAGACGCTGACCGCTGTTAGAATGAAAACTCTGTCAGAAGCCATACTAATAAGCTGCAGAGAGGCCTCAGAAGTCTCAGCATGATAATATTTAAGACCCTTCTAGTCATCTGTAACATGACATCATGCTCAGCCTTCACGGATTTAACACCAATTCCTTGCATACATTTCATATTCGAGTCTCTGCACTCACTGTGTCAGCCGTGCAAAGCATTCTGGGAATCCCACCAAAATTTGCTTCCCCCCAGGATGGGATCCTTGCTGCTTAATGCATATTTTGCTCTGCAGTCAACGCTGCCACCCACAGTCAGTCTTAATTTGTAGTCCTGCTGGACTCGTTAAAACTCCATTTAACCCTTAGAAAAGCTGCTCTGTGCCTCTATTCTCATAAAATAAACTGGAGATAAAACAAGAATGTAAAAAATAAAAATGGTTGTCAGATCTTCCTGCCCAATATACCACTGCATGATGAAATTAGCTTGAGAATCATTTTACGCTCAATTGAGTGATGTCACCACATTCCCAGCAGCTCCCTTTACATTTGTGAGAGGAACCCAGAGGATGACAGGATAGATCAGCAGCCAATCAGAATCCATTATTCAGGGATTATGTTAATAAGACACCAAAGGGTCACATACCCACCTGGCTTGCTCTCTGGACCCCTCCTTTTCCCCTCAACCCCATTCCATACCAGCTCATAATTTAGGTTCACCCAGTTCACCCAGTTCAGCACCAATGTTACTCCAGGTTACTTCAGTCCCTGACCAAACCGTGACCTGCGTTTCCAGTCTCTACAGGTGCGGAACTGGATTTGTACCCAATACATGACTGATTCTTCAGCCAGGCTGGATAATTATTTTGTTTTTTGGTTACTAAGCATCTTCCCTTCTATTTATGTGGTGCCATTTAATGGATCAGGTTCATTACAAGGAATCTAGTGGCTTAGGGGCAACAAGAATATCTTGCAACTTGCATTGGTCCTCTGTCTGGACCCAAACCTGGGACAGCATTCAAGGTTATGAAATAAAAGGATGCTTTATATGTAAAAGTACATTGGAATGCTGCTTTTTGTGTATGCCAGCATGCTCTTTGAGACACACACACACACACACACACACACACACACACACACACACACACAGGTAAGGGAGAGGTTTAGAGTCTGAGTGGGGGGTTAGCCATTTATCTGATGCCCCCATTTAATTTAATTTTTTTTGGGGGGGGGGGGCGTTTGTTCAGAGGCCAAATGACCATGTGACTGTTGTGCTGAGGACGGGATTCAAACCATCAACCTTCTGATCACACTTACAGGCCTAACCTGCTGACCCACAAGCCCGTCCCCCCAACACGTAGATGTTCCATGTGATATACGCCTCGCTCCAGTAGTCTCATTATCCATTATCAATCCAGCAGGTTCTGGACAGAAAGCTGAGTCAAGGAGCCACAGGCCAGCACAGCAAAAGCTGTGAATCTCCCCCACAGCCCCGTGCCGCCTGCGCTTCTCCGCCTCATCCATCCTCCTAATAAGGCCTTTAACTGCGCTCTTAAAGCCGGGTGAATTTAGCGCTCGGGTGCACTGTGACCGCCCTGCCCCAGAATAAAAGTACACTGGCTCCCAGGGAAAAAAAAGAAAGAAAGAAAGAGGAGGAGTAGAGAGAGAAAGAGAGGGAGAGATCCGAAAGCCCTGGGATGATTAAACAATAAATCAGGCGACGAACTCAACACCGGCCTGCAACAAATGAAGCTGGGACAAGACGACCTCGTGCAGTAGAGCCTCGGGCTTCAGTGCTGGTCACACAGCTGCTCTTGACCTGCTCTGTAGGCCCCATTATCCAGGGTGACGTAGCATATTACCTCACGCATATGATCAAACAGATTTCACCTCAGCCAATCACAACATCAACTGTCCGTCCGTCTGTCTGTCTAACCATCCATCCATCTGTCTATGAATCTGTCTGTATTTATACGCAGATAATTCTGACATAGGTGTCCTGAACACTGTAGGTTAAGAACATATTGGGACGACGCCCTTCCCCCCCCGACTCGTTTGTGATCCACAACGCGGCGCACTTCCAGAATGAGACGGCACATTGAAATTGGACGCAGCACTGCAAACGATTCAGATGCAGCAGCTGGCGTGAGGCATGAAGCACTTTGCAGTGTTTTTCAGTCGTAAAATCACTGGGTGCTTTGCAGGGCGGGGGCGGGGGGGAATGGGGGTTATTTGGGGTCATTTATCCGTAGTTGCTGTATTTTCCGCTAAATTATTAAGAATGCGGAGTTAAATATATATATCGCTTTAGGGCAAGAAAATGATTAACTGTTGGTGTTTGTCACACACAGCTGTCAAACAAAAACCTTCAAGCCTCCGTCTCCCCCAACACAAAGCGAGGAAATTGCATTTCCGTGGATTTATCTGCACATTTAGCCTGCTGGCCGCTTGGGAACAAGCCTGCAAGGTCTACAGGCTGCAAACGACACACATCACAGGAACCTTCAAATGCAAGCCAGTATGAAAATATGAAAATAATGAGGGCACATCCCTCGCAGAAGACACCTTTCGGTAAAACCCGTTCACTTTGAAATTAAGTAGAGACTCTCAGCTGTATGTTGATTAGCCTTTTTGGCAGATTCTGGAAAAAAAAGTAAACATTTTTTTACAAAACATATGCAATATTTGATGTTTTTCTAATACAGGAGCACCCCCGTCGAGTCAACCGGACCACCGTTGGTGTAAATGAAGACAGGAGGTTCCTTATCATCGCTGCAGAGGTGGCCCAGCACTGATAACAGAGGCCTGTGTCTGTATCTGCAGCCCCAGATAACACGGGGCAGTCTCGCTCATGCAGGAAATTCCTGCTGAAAATTACAGACGCACAGCAGTCTATTTGGTTGCCCAGGTGATGGTTTACCAAAAATGTATGTTCTAGGCCACCTCCTTAAACACTACGCCAACTAGTGGCCACCCATGGTACTGCCTCAAACAGAGCTCTAAATTTAGCACCGAAATATACTCTCCTTCGCTTTCGCTCCAAACCTCCAGCAGTTACTAAACATACACAAACACTTACATGTTCAGTGAGATGTGTAGTCAAATGCAGACATGCCAAAGGCAGAAAAGGCAGTCCCGGATGTGTTAACTGACAGAATTCAGCTCCTGCATCATAAACAGGAATCAATTACAGTTCTAACACCTTTCAGACTGTCACTATACCCTCCAGATTTATTTCATCTGCATGCACTTTTCATTCTCCCCTCGCCCACTTCCCTGAGGCCTTGTTCCCACTGCTCTCACAAGCCTGCTATAATTCTCTGTTTTTCTACCACGTTTGGGAGCTTCTAAACCTGGCCTGTTGCGATGGTCCCACCCCACATGCGTTCTGCCATAAATCTCACAGCAAGCCCAAATCACCACACGCTCTACGCTCCTTCCCATCGCAAGTTGATTCTTTGTCTATGTCTTAATGGCCAAGTCTTGACATATCATCCTGTTAATGCACAATATGGCCAAAAGGTTGTGGATTCCACCTTGTCCGACATCTCACTCTGAATCAAAGGGTATTAATATGAAGTTGGCTAACCCTTAGTTAACCCTTAGTTAACCCTTATTTGCTATAATAGCCTCTGATCTTCTGGGAAGACTTTCCATTAGATGTTGGGACATCGCTGGTGGGATCTGCTGCCATCCTGGTTGGCTATTGTTGTTGGGTGATCAGGTCCTTTTCCGTGAGCTTGTGTGGCAGCTGAACTAACCTCCTGACATTTTGACAACCGTCACTTTACTTGTGGTTGACCAGGGCAGCTCCAGCAGGAGAGAAACGTGACAAACTGACTTGTTGGAAAGATGGTGCCCAATGACGGTGCCAAGTGGGAAGTCACTAACCTCTTCTGCACGACCACCTGTTCTGCTGCTAACAACTGTTGCAGGACATTGTGTGACCGTGCGCTTAACTATACACCTGTGTCATCGATGGATGTGGTTTAATTAGCCAATCTGTCTAATTAATAGGGGGGTCCCCACACTTCTGGCCATATAGTGTCTCATTGTTCATATTTTGTTTATCACTTCTCATCTGCATTATGACCAACACGAACCACATTCCACCACGGCGGAAGACCCCATGCATTGTGTACCTGAAACTGACCATAAAAGACACAGACTATTGTTAACTTTGATTCACTGCCGAGACGATATACGATAAACAACACGAACCAAACCTAAAAAAACTGCTTCTTTCGTGCCTCTGAATTTCCACAGAGACTCAAAAAAAAAAAAAAAAAAGAAAAAAAAAAAAAAAAAAAAAAAACTCTGAGCATGATGATATGGGGAACAGACGCCTTGCATTGGGAAACAACTTGTTTTTCCTAGACAAAAAGGGACACTGAAGTTCAGCTGACACATTGCGTGTGGGTATAAGCAAGGATAGGCCGGTAACAGGGGTCAAGAAGTGCTCCCCCCCCCCGCGCTTTTGGGAAATATGGTACACTCCCAAATCTTTGCACTCAGCAGTGCTGGTTTTGGGTGTGTTTTCATGAAGAGCGGTTCATGTGGGTGGCCAAGGGGGGGGGGGGGGGCGGGGAGTTTGACTTGTGAGTTTGCCTGCAGCCGGAGAGATAATATTAGCAAGTCTGGGGATGTGCTGGGGAGGCCGTTTCGGCAGTCCCACAGATCACGTACGCACCCCGAGAGAGCCCAATTACGCAATGCAGCTCCCAGGCGAACGTTCGGCGACGTGGGCGCGTCGGGAGAGACTGCTCTGTCGCCGTTTGCGTATGGAGGGCCGGGCCACCCCCGCTCTCATCTAGTACGGCAGTGTCTCATACGAGACAGCTCCTCCAGGTGGCCTTCATTCCATCGACATGACTAAGACACCAGTCCACCTCGGTCACCACCAGCTCCTTCCACTACATCGCGGCCACAAAAGTCAGGCATCTCACCTCCTAATTCATGTCACGAAATGCAAGGACGACTCATACTCCACACGTTACACCCCCTTCAGAAGACTTACACTGTCCGTAAGACCAACTATAATTAGTTCTGGTCTCAGGGCCTTTAAGTACTAAGGTATTTTTAAACCTTATTGTCTGCACACCAGGCTGCGTCCTTAAGAGTTGGATTCCGGCACTGCCTATTACGGCGTACGCATAAAATATGCGACAGGCCGCAGCGTCAGCAATGTGTCCAACCAGGCAGCGTATTACAGCAGAAAACGCCACAGAAATATACCTTTAGGGTTCCTTTACATATACACTCCAAAAAAAAGGTTAAAATTGTACCTTTGACTGTTACTGGGGCTGTACCCTTGTAATTGTACTTTTTAAGGCACAGAATGGGACTCAGAACATCCCAAAGGTACAAACAGCATTAATGTACCATAAATGGTACAGAAATGTTCCTCAGAGTCCATTTCTGTACCTTAAAATGTATAATTACCTACAGCTAATGGTACAATTGGCAAACCCTTGAGGGTACAAAGTGACAAGCAAAGGTACAAATATTTACCCTTTTTTTCTGAGTGTAGACAGGTAGTGATCTGTATTTATAAGCTATTTTTTAGACTATATTGGAATCACCATTGATATTAATACCGCTGTTATTAATGTACATGTATTCCCAGGTGATGCATCAGTAGACTGACTGACCTTTAGAGAGGTTTTTTTTTTCCCTCCATTTTCCTGTATATGACTTGGTTTCAGTCACATAGACGTCATCGCAAGATGGGCCTTTTAAGGATATATGAAGTCAATAAGGCAATTATACTGACAGAGAGCAAAATAACTGTTGAAACAAAGTCAGTGGGGGAGGGTGGGGGGTAATATATCCCTCTATAAACTTCCGGAAAAGGAATCCGAGAAAATGTTCATTATACCTTTAAGTCACAGCTGTTACAGCTAAACCAGCGTCGGCACGCAGTGCCGATGACGTCATACCTCCCAGCAGAAGAAGTGTGGGTGTAAATCTTCATCTTGTCTGCATTGCATTATTTAGTTTCTTAGTGGATATTAGCCTGCAATTTACATTTTTGCCCATTAGGAACACCAAAGCCCCCCATTTAGAAGTAGAAACAGCCAGTGTGACCAAAAACAACAACAAAAAAATGCCCCACACACTTCAAATCTTTTAGTCGAGCCTCTCACATAATCAGGAGTTTCCACTAAACCTACACAAACATGTCCCAGTGCGGGTTTATAAACGAGTCTCTAACACATTGGCGGTACACTGTCAACCACACCTGGGTCTTAAGGACAAAACTGTTCTCTTTTCTCGGGACAAAAACAACCCAGCCTTGAATAGTACAGGTCACATGTCTGGAAGACCTTAGGCCACGAGTGTGGATTAAGATCTAACCATGACATTTGGAGCAAGTTTGCAAAGAATTCAGAACTGACATTTCAAAGAAACAGGTTAGCCTACATGATGACAAATTGGCTTCGGGGTATTTAGTTGTTCTTGGTTTGTATAGAAAGAGCGTAATCAAATGAAATCGCAGACAGCATGTCCTCAAAACACTTACTTCTATATGTCATTTTTATTCAGAGGTGACAGGCTGCATAGGTTATATAGACAGTAAATGACAAAGTAAACAAACATGGTTGAAATCCTATTAAAATACAGTTGACAGAACTTCGCTTTAGTCGATCTTACGTCTCATCAATGAGCGTTGTACACAATGTGTTTCCAACTATGCTTTCTGAAGGTTAAAGACTGGATCAGCGCTAATTATTTTCCTACCGGCTTAGCCTACTAATGATATCTAAGTGGGTAATTGCTGTGCATCAGAGTGTGTACATTGTGAGTCCCGTACATTTCCCGACGCCGGAGAATTATGCATTAATATTTCATTTAAAAAGGAACGGAAATGATCGTTGCGTTTAAAATGTAGAAATATCGTAAGAGCGAGAGATCGTGCGTCTGTAACATTACTCTGTAGCAGACATTAGAGAGCCGCTCTTGGAGAAACCAGCGCTGCTTCCGTCTGCACGCTTCCCACGGCCAGTCACACAAACACACGCATAAACACATCCAACTCCGCAGCCCTACCTTCTGTGTGGCAGCTGGAAGACAGGATGGTGCTCGGAGGTCTGAAAATATAAGGCAGGTACCGGGAAAAACATTTCATCTTTTTCTTGCGGGTTTTCTTCCCCCCTCCTCCCCACCTCGCCCTCAAAAGCAGAACATTATATCGCTGTCCGCATATCTTAATTTACTACATGGAGACGGAGACGCGTTTTATGGGAGCGTGGATGTGATATTGTGGAAATTCAAAGCTGCATCATTTGCGATCGGCAAAAGCGGATGTGCATGATCCTTTCATAACACTCGCGTCCTCCGTGCACGGCTGCTCTGCTCTCCGCCTCACCATACTTCCCCCTATCGCCGACAGGACGCGAGGTTGCGCTTTTCTCAAGACAGGGAGGGGGTGGGGGGGTAATATCAGAGGGATGGTAAGAGTGAGTGTTTACACTTCTGGTACCTGCCCCTTCGTTGCCCCCAACGTCGTGCCTAAAGCATCAGCTGTTGCCACTATGAAGTGTAAAGGTACCGTTATTCACCATGGTGTCCAGCTCATTTCTTCACACCGTGCACAAGTAGCGGTACCCCGCCGTCCTGACTGGCCGATTTCAGCCGTAACGAACGAGGTTTCAAACTACACCGAGGACGTTTTCATTTATATTACACATATGGAATATCCTCAAAATGCAAAGACAATCATCTTTTATTTAAGGTCTTAACAAACAACAAAAAAAAAAAACAGTTTGCATGTTGTGTTACTATAAACTCACGCACAGGGCAATAAATAAATCATATTAATCATGTACACGCAGCCAGCCTAAATGCAAATGCACAATTATATTATTAATGGCATATTTTATATTATATGCATTTTTGATTCACCACAGAGTGGTTCCCACAACCTTCCACCCTGCTCCCTATGTATAAGAGTTACATATGTGACACATATTATCATTCAATTATCATTCAATGCGACAGTTTAGTCGGAATCACATACTGCTGAAGGATTAGTCATTTTCATAAAAGGATAGAGAAGCAAGAACGACCTAACGTCTGTTTAACTGAAAAAAATTAAACGTTACAGACTCAAACAGCCTGATCGCGATCTCCCTAATCTAACACAATCAGAATAGCTTAACTGTGGTCTTCTCTTGATGACACGTTTGTAAGAACAGAAAGCATGGCTGATACGCTTCCTGACCGCGGCCCGTGTCTTGCAGAGGACATCTGAAGCGGCGTCAAGGAAAAAAAAGTAAAGAAAAGAATAAATCAGCAGCCGTTGGCGTATGAAACGGCTGCCATCTGTCGCTGCACCCAAATATACCCACCTATGTCCCGACTTCGCAGCTCTGCCCACGCGCTTCAGAGCGCGAGATGGTGGCATCCCGGGGAATCTTACTCACTCCAAAGAGCTGAACCCTCAGATTATGTTGTGCTGACTTTAGGAGCTGCCGCAGAGAAAAACGCAGACATTCCACCTTAGATATGTTTATTTCAGGGTGGCGGATGAGTAGTACCAGCCCTAGATGTGGCGCCCTAGGCCAGCATAACCGACGGCGCCCTCCCCCGTCCGAGTGAAATTGGCTGGCAAGTCAGCGCCCCCTAAGAAGTTGGCGCTCTACCTATAGTTTTCAGTGTGGTAGCAGTTTTTTACATGTAGTTTTATCATGCAGAAAGTGCTGCCTATAATTTTCAGTGTGGTAGCAGCTTTTTACACATAGTTTTATGCTGCCGGCTTATTTTGTGGCTTATTTGGAGTCTTTTTTTAATGTGATGACACGGCCCTTTTATAGATTTATCAAGTATGCAAAGCAGCAATTTTCATATAATCATGCTATATGTCCGCATATCTTAATACAAGACAGTCCTGTATTTTCCTAAATAAATATAAGTTTTTGTTTGTTGCATCCAGTTGTTCCTGGATACGCTCTTCAGCCCAAATATCCAGCAAACACTGCACCTCTGCCATAGACCAAAGTGATCCCTTTGCTGCCATGTTTTTTGAACGGCCAGTTGCACCATTGACATCATGTCTGAGTCTCATGTTCAGGCACAGTTAGCAAGCACACTGGATGCCTACTGTACAGAACGATTACACTGGATGCCTACTGTACAGAGCGATTACACTGGATGCCTACTGTACAGAGCGATTACACTGGATGCCTACTGTACAGAGCGATTACACTGGATGCCTACTGTACAGAGCGAACACACTAGTCAAATGAACCGGACTTTGCAGGGTGAAACATGCTCTGGCAGGGTATGGATCTCCTAGTGTGAGTATACCGTAGTTTCACCGTAGTACACCCTAGAGCACCAGTTAGGCTAGCTGCTAACTGAAGGCAGAATTCACTCTCCCAACCCGAAGGTGTGAAGATAAAATGGCGTCATAGCCTTGGCCCTTAAAGTTCTGTAAAAATCAATATTGGGTGGCTGTAATACTCAGCAATTACCAGGCAGCCATGTTACGTTATGGTGAGCAATTGTTTTTTCTTTGATGGCTATAACACCCAGAATAAGCACTGTTGTGAGCCAGTATCACAGCAAAACGTGGGCTGTGATTATCCCAGCTCAATGGCAAGACAAACTAAAAAGTGTCGGACTCGACACAGGACAGATAACATTTGGTAACGTATAAGAATGGTACATATGACTCTTTTAAATTCCTCAGAACAAACATCAGCAATGACCTGAAGCAGAAAAGCAACAACGAAGACATAACTGCAAAAGCTCAACAACGACTTTACTTCCTCAAGCAACTTCTCGTTCTGTCTATTCGACTCCATCGGTCCATCTCTACATCTCCTATTACAGTATGGTAAAGCAACCCGGACAGTCAAACACGGGAAACACTACAACGGATTGTGAGTAAGGCGTTCAAAATCATGGGTAACCCACTACCCTCTTGAATTGCTACATATTCACGTTGAAGTGAGCAAAGATAATCTCCGACTGCACATATCCTGTGTACGATCTCTTTCAGTTCCTTCCCACTGGAAGGTGCTACAGGTTACTACCCACAAACACTAAACATTTCACCAACAGTTTCTGTATGTTTACTATTCACCATTCATCTAATACATGCTGTTGTGTCTCATTGTATTGTATTTGTTGTATTGCAGTGTGTTGTATTGTACTGTTTTGTATCATACTGTATCACTGTAATTGTTATAATTGTGTATTGCCAGGGAGGGGCTTGGGGGTGTGGTAGCTTCCCCTATGATCGTCATCGCACCCCCTTAGTACCCCCAAGAAGTTTCTGTGGTTTATTTGGATATTTTATTTTTAATGTGTGAATACTACGCTCATGGGAGTATTACTTACACAAAAATGTTCTGAGGGCAGAATGAAAAATGATTGGTTATCTCTCCGATCCAATCATATTGAATCATATTGATCATATTGAAGAGCAGTAGGTCCCGCCTCCTCTAGTTGCTTGGGCCCACCTCCTCTACAATCTGATTGTAGACGTTAGTGTCGTTATGCCCTCAGAACATTTCTGTGTCAGTAAAACTCCCACAAGTGAAAAGCCCAATTTACACTTTGAAAAATAAAGACATAAATAAAAAGCGCATATGTGTGTTGGGGGTATTGCAAAAGGAATTTAAGCGTGGGGGTCGGCACATCAAGGGGAAACCCTACATGTCGAGTGTCTGCTATGCTCGATATATGTACTGCAGAGTCTAATGTACTGTACTGAGATCAAATTCCAGCAGCCCTGGTCATGTGGCTAATAAGTAATCCATCTATACATGGTGTGAGGCGATATATATATTAAGTGATGTGTAGCAAACAGAGGTAACTGAAGACTTTATTCAACGCACACAATGTTCCCACATTTCCCGCTCGAAACGTGACTGCAGTATTCCTTTTGGGAGCTTGGCGTTTTCCTCCAGTGGAGTGAGTGACCTGCTGTGACCGGCATCAGGAAAACGTGACCTCAAATATAAACAAGCTTTCAGTTATTTTACTGGAAATGGGATAATAGTTGGTTTATTGCTGTATTTGCAGAAATGACACACAAACACAGACCAGCATAGCACCTGTTTCCTGATCTATATGGAAGTTGTTAAATATAATATAAAATATAATATAAATTATATAATTTGTACACAAATTTTACCTTAAACATTTAAAACCTTCCCTGTTTTTAAACAATGAAAGAGTTTAAAATGGATTTGTTTGTGTTCTGTCTTCTTTATATGTATATTGAGGTAGGCTTAGCCAATATGTAAAATTTCCCATAGAAACCCTGGATGGAGTTAATTTGATTATGAGATACTCATCACATTACTGCTCATGATGTTTCCCGGCATCCTATTTATAAAGCCTGAGGTCAGTTTTTGTCAGTGAGGGAGACTTTTGTTATTAGATGAATGTAGGTTTATATCTTCTCATCACTGCAGCACGGTCTTGAGATTGATTAGAGGAAGTGAGTCGAAAGTCATCACTGTGCTTATGGAGCTTAAGACCTGAGTTCAAGTCAAAAAAGAAGCATCTTCTAGTTGGGGTTGATGTGTCTGGAAGGCCGATGAAAATATCACACGAGTAACGGTGTCTGGACACATAACCTTTGTCAATATAATATGATGATGAGTTTTTAAGCGACTTCTTAGGACAACAGATCTACTGGCAAAGCTAAATACCGTTTCTTTGTGCTCTCCTCAGATGTGTGATGTATCTTTCCATCTCTGAAGTCTGCGAGGGGAGCATCCAGATTTAAGAACTAAGTCCCATGGGCTGCTTATGGACCAAAACCCTTGGAATTCAGTTCTCAAATCTGAAAAACTCTAAAAAAACATTCCTTTAGCTTATTTTTCTGGCTGTTGTAGAAAATACCTGTAAAATAACATGAAGAGATATTGTAGAAAAGCCTCATAGAATAATTCATTGGAGAAAAACACATTTTCAAGCAATATTATTTATAATATTATGCAAACGTGCTTTTTTTAGTCTTTACCCTTACAGCTACACTGTCAGAAAAAAGTACTAGTTTATACCTTTCAGGGTACAATTACTTGTCAGTGGAGCTGTACCCTCAAGGGTCTGCCATCTGTACCCTAGCTGCAGGTAAGTGTAACTTTAAATGTACAGAAATGGACCGAGGAACATTTTTGTATCTTTGTACCTATGTTTGTACCTTGGGGATGTTCCTCAGAGTCCATTTCTGTACCTTAAATTCGACTAAAAGGTACATTTCATTGACTAAAATGTACATTTCCCTACAACTAGGGTTCAATTGGCCCTTGTAGGTACAGTCCCAATGATAACAAAGGTACAAATTGCTGCTCTTTTTTTCTGACAGTGTGTAATTACTTGTCACTGGGGCTGTACCATTAAGGGTCTGCCAGTTGTACCCTAGCTGTAGGTAAATGGACAAAATGGGCATTTTTGTGTAATTGGGGAGACATTAATATTGTTTGTACCTTGTGGAACAAAACTGTACCCATTTTTATTACTGTGTATAAGAGTACTCACGGTTCAGCTAATTCTACACAAGCAGTACGATTTGGAACGATGAATCAGAATCTGTTGACATGACTGTAGAGTTTGAAATCGTGCAACAGATGCCTGCATGAGAAAAGCTGGGATTTTTTTTTGTGTGTGCCCAGATTCTGGGAATGTCCAGAAATTAGCCTAGTAATTTCACATCTTGATAATTCTGCCCGGTCACTCTGGTCGGGTGACTTCGTCCCGCAGCACACAAGGGTAATCTTTGTGCTCGGCTGTATGACGAATCACGTGCAGGTCTGAGTGATCAGAAAAATCAATTTACTGTATGAGCTAGAAAAATATTGGCAATTTTCAAATTATAAACTGACACTGATATTAAGATTACTATGTTTTTCTTTATATTTAATTTATATGTTCTCTAATTAAATTCAGGTAGGTTTCAATTATTGACCATTTGGAAAAAACTGTTGTATTATGCATTGTATATGAAAGGTCATATAATGGCGATATTGTTGGTATTATAAAACATTTGACCTCCTATTGAAATCCTATATACATAGTTTTGTCACAGTCCCATATAAATCCCACTGAGGTGAAAACGAATCGGAGCATGAAGCTCCATTGCGTTACTCTACCAAAATCACATGAGAATATTTTTTGTCTACCTCTGCAGAACTTCAGTACAGTGTTCATCGCTGTCTTCTTTGTAAATAAACAGAAAGCATTTTACCAAAAGCACCTCAAACACATGATAGCTTACTTCCTTTCTGTCTGTATAGCAATTCCTAAAAACATATATAATTGCTTCAAGAGCGTTTATGGAAGCGCAATACATTTTTTAAACTATATCTGTATTCTATATGCTTTTTATTAAGTTGCCACTAAATCTTGTACTGTTGTTATATAAACCTTCCCCATGGTACAGTGCTTACACAGTGAAGTCCTCTCTTGTACATGACAAATTCATAGTGTAGAGAAAATGACTATTAAGGCCTTTATATACAAATTAATTATTTTTCTACATTTGTAATGGACATTACTATGGCATTTATGGAAATGATTTAGGTTTCTTTAAAGTAACCATGCAGTTTCGAATGTAGAAAACTAAATTTAAAAATTAATTAATTCTGTACTTAACTCCAGGCATTTAGCCTGCTTCATAACTCTCTCACATATCCCTTCCTACGTTTCGGTACCTTGCTGTGTTTGTTTTAAATTAAAACGTGAGGCTGTAGTATCACCCAATAACCCCTATTTCACATTTTGTGTTATACAGAGGTATTTTTACAAGAAAGGCTTACACTACAACGCCAGCGGTTTTTCAATTGCATTAAGCAGAAGCAATTTTAACCCCGTATAAACCAAATATTACGCATCTACAGCGGTCGAAACGTACGTGAACGACTGTAAAGCCAGGTTTTACTGTCTTTTTCTAACTGTAAGTGAATTAAATCGGTGGCTCCGTGATTATAACGTGGGCTTGCTGAAACAGCTGCAGCGCTTCTCACGAAAGGGTGGAAATATGAGTGATAGGCTACTATCCAGTCGGTTATTATATTATATTACACCAAGACTAAGAGTTTGATCGTATCCCGTAGTCGAAATGTGACAACAGCATTCAGCCTAGGTTAGCGGAACCAATAAAACCATTCAAATTACCTCGTTGCGTTAGTACAGACTAATATCAATAAAATAAGCAGGTGAAAATCTCACATAATTTCCACTGCATAATATGATGAAAATAGGTTTTACTTTATATGATTCGAGCTCGGTTATAGTCTGTTCTCTAATGTAAGCAAATATTCTTATTTTATTGATTCATAATTCTATTAAAATTCAGAGCATGTCATTTAATGTTGTACAGCAGTTTTCTTAGAAAATTCTACACTGACATAGATATTATTAACGTAGATATTTTACATTTAACTTACCATCCCTTGTAACATAGACAGTGTGACTTACTCGGGACCCTGTCCCAGTCTGTCTTCCCTTTTTGTGTTGCTGTTGTCATTGCTGGTCTCTCACTTTGACTGCCTTCACCGTGCATCTTTCAGTCAGTTGCTCTCTGATTCATCCTAGTGCTACAGCGGCCGCGCTTTTTTCTTTGTGAAGCCGGCGCTGCTGATTCATCCAGACGAAGCAGTTTTTCAGAAAATCAAGCATAAGAGCGCCGGACACCCACAGCCCCTGTATGAACTGCACGTGTTTTGACCTCGGCGCTATATAAAGGAACTGATTAGCGGCGATTTGCATAGGCGTATATTCCATTTTACACACAATGTACACATTAAGAGATGGAAAGTCCCATATGCACCCAGTAGAGCTTGCCTACTTGCGCAAAAGGGATTCAAGTGCGTCAGAACATGTAGCAAAAAACAATTCAAACAATTGCAATGATACCAACCTAGAAAATGGGCAACGTGCTTAAATACAATTTAATTGCTTTGTTTTATAACATAGCAAATATTTTACGCGCTTGATTTTCTTTATTATGAAACCCTCTGCTATCAGAGAGGAAGGAAACGTTGGTCAACTATTCGATACATCGTTTCCGCTCTGTAAACTCCGTTGTCTATTTAGGGGAAATCCTAACCCCTCTATCGACCGACTGATCAGCTCGCCTGCGTTAGATGTCATCTACAATGCGCCTTTATTGTATGGATGTTCAAACCAGCTTTGCTTTCTACCTTAATTTCAAGGACTACATGTACTTTAGGGAGCAAAAACACAACAAAAAGAACACCCGAAAGTAGGGGTATTACAAATGGCACTTTTAGATGTAAGTCTTCAGTTAAACTTGTCCAGGTGTATGTCAATGAGACATGGTCGAAGGACATATTACGGTTTTGCTAAATCTCATGCATGCATGAGACGTGCGTTATAAAGCAAGGTGTACTTTGATCATTAGACAGGAACGGTCAAAAGTTAGATATAGTTAACTATATATAACGAACAAACTGTATCAAAAACTTTTCTTCTATAAATATAGAACGGCAGCAGTGACTTGCAAAAGCGGCTGGTGGCAGTGGTCGGGAATGCCCCAGTCTGAAGCCAGTGTGGCGGAAACTCGTGAACCCCGTGATGCTACCTGCCGCTTCATGCTTACTGTGCATGACAGCAGCAGAGAGCGCCCACTTCGGCCGGCCGCCGCCCCTCCATCGCCCGGTCCGTCTCCTCAACGCAGCCCCGTTTTGCATCGCTGACGCGCGCCAACCCGTAACATCAGCTGACCTCATATGACTAGCCGATTTGAGTCAGTTGCTTTTTAGTTTCTATACAGTCATGGGACAAGTGGTGGGTTAAAAAATGACTCTGGGGCTAGTTACACTGCTGACGCAACCATAGAAAAATGTCCAATGAGAACTCATTTGAAAAGATTAAAAAATAATAATAATATATTTTTTTTCAACTTGGTGGTGAGGTCTGGTTTCTACTCTAAGCAGTACTGCAAACAAAGGCATTGTTTTTTATGCTAGTTTACTGGCCTGGCTATTATGAGTATTTCAGATCTATTTATACACAATTTAAGTCCCCTTGGAGCACTATATACACATATTTTAATTAGTGGTCTATTCCAAATTAGTAGGAAATAATCTCAAAATAAATAATAGTTCGCGTAAATCAATAAACATACGCTTTGTTTTAAAACCAGGCCCAGCACTTATATGTTTAATATGCACTTTAGAAGGCAATAATGGGGAATGTAAACTGCGCGGCTAAATATAACCAACAAAAAAGATACCAGCGGGCAGAACAAGAAGGGCGGTAAGTTGGCGTCAGTAATAAAAGTCACGTGGTGAGCGGGCAGTACCTCTGATTTTTCTGAGAATTTCAGGATTCCGGGACACTAACATTTAATTTTGAGAAGTGCAATACCACGCGCGCCCATGTGTATGTTGTAGGCTATTTAGGCCTAGTTAAGATATGAAATTATGTACAGGGTATTTAGACACCATTTTGTGTGAGTGTGCCCTGCGATGGGTTGGTGCCCCACCCTGAGCTGTACCCTGCCTTGCGCCCATATGCCCAAAATAGGACAAGCGGTTACAAAAGACGAATGGATTGATGGATTGTATTTAAATGACGATACTTGACGTAACTTCCTTCAGCGGCTACTGACACTGGCGTCAGCCGTAAAAATACTAGGATTTACGTCTGACGTTTAAGGGTTTCCACTTTAATTAGACAGTTTTCACCATTTCCTCGTATTATAAACCGGGCCTAATATATTGTATAAAGCTTTATTATATTTTGGT